GGCATTTAACATGCTAACCTTTTACCTCTGAGACTGTGCTTTAAGTTTGAGGCCAAGTTCAAGTCCTTACTAAAATAAGCTTGCTGATCTTTGTTCAGTCCCTAGTGACTGCCTGTCCACATCTCAAAACTGCTCAGTAAACATGATTAAAGAAAGAAAAAAAAAGTCACCGCCTGAAAGCTGCAAAGTAAATACAGTTTAGTTACAGTTTATAACTTGTATAAAACAGTTCATAACATAGTTCATAACACAGTTCTAATATAGTTTATAGTCTTTTTTTAAAAAAAACAAAAAAAAAGCCTACTGTTTAATTTTCATAAGCATAGCGGGCTTAGTTGTTCTTATCCACAAATGCTATGGTATGGTATGCATTTACTGGTCAGCCAGCCAAGCATTATGTTCTGTGGGAACAGGTGGAAAAACAGTGTTAAATTTTGGAAATAAAGGCTTGAATTCTAGCATAGACCTAACGGAAAACAAATATGATTGATCTTAATCCCAACCCTATGCATAGCATAAAACCTGCAGGTTTTACAGATTTCGTCATGCTTGATAGCCTCTGCTCAAGACTAGTTCACAAACACTGTATTGAAGTGTTGCACATCATGAGTGTTTGCTGTGTCAGGTTCAGTTCTGGGTGTCTCTAGCTTTTAATTACATAGTATGGTTTTTCCACAGTCCACTGAAGTTGACTTCAATGGCCTTTGGAAGAGGTGCTGGGTTTTGCTGTTTCTAAGTGAAAAAACCCAACAGTTTATTGTCACTATAGCTCAATACAACTTCTCCAGAAGAAAATCAGTTCAGGTTCAGATGAATGTATCAGCTAAAAGTCACGTTGTAGGTTTTTGTTTTTCACATCAATTCAATAATTCTGTGTGTTGACAGTCTTGAAATTTGGGGAGAAAAAAACCCCAAAACAGTAAATTAGCAAAATACAAAAGAAAACAAGGGCGATGTATTAGTAATAGTAGAAATTTACAGCAAAATTGTGCAATTTTGTTAGTGGAAGAACTGAGAGAGAGCACGGTCTGAAAATTTTTGACAATAGCACTGATACCTTGAGGTAGAGATTCCTATTGTGGATCATAATCCCATAATATACCTGCTGTGCATAGCCTTAGTTTCTGACATAATTTAAACAAGACCTATATAATATGGTTCCAGATGAACAAATGTAGAATTGATACTCAGCCATTTTGAA